TTATTATTATTATTTTATTATTATTATTATCATTGTTTCTTTTAATTTGTATTTGTTTATTTTGGGGACTATGTTCTTTAATGCTTGTTCTGTAATATAAAACTCAATAAACATACTGTTTAAAAAAAAAGGGGGTGGGTCAGAGAGGGTCTGCCACACAAAGCAAGACCCCAGGTACAGGCTGTGCAAAGATGCCTCTGAGACAATCCAGCACATAACAGCAGGATGCAAGATGCTATCAGACAGGGCATACATGAAACGCCATAACCAAGTGGTTGGCATAACATACAGGAACATCTGTGCCAAGTATGGCCTGGAAGTCATGAAGACAAAATGGGACACAACCACTAGGGTTGTTGAGAATTTGCCTGTCCCATTTGGTTCTTTAGCCGTCAGAATTGTTGTCTAAAGACCAACAAGGATACCAAATGGATTTCCTTTGCCAAATGGATCATCACGGCCTTGCCGTATTGGTCCATTTGATCGACCTTTGTTGTTATTATTTATTTTATTATATTTTCAGTTGTTGCAGATGGGACAGACATGACTGAGGGATAGGAAAGGGAGAAAGAAAGATAAAGGAAAATAAAAACAAAAGGGAAGAGGGACAGTGAGAGAGGGCACTTAAAAAGAGAAAGAAGAGAAAAAAAAGAAAAAAAAATCTCCTGGATCACCTGTTGAGAGAAAAAAAAGAGAAAACAAGCAAAAAACAACAACAACAGAGCAACATACTAAACACAACACCATCACATTAATCTAGCTAAGTGTAAACAGCAGTAAATACGAAATGTTGAATGTTATTGTGTAGCAAGCAGGACCGACAGCGCACATTGTGCTTGGAAATAGCAGCCAATAAAGGTGTAGTTTATGTCTATGAACAGTGGACACCCGTGTGCACCTATTACAAGGTCTCCCCATGTAATAGCCCTGTCCCCCAAGGCATGAAGCAGGCATGGAGGAGATCCAGGCCCCAGACATCCAGAGGCCCCAGAGTGCGAGAGCCCAAGGAGGACCACCGGAGGGGCAGCTAAACATTTTCTAACCCCATATCGTCTACCACTGATAGTGGTCTACAGTCCAGAGCAATCCATTTTGTGAGAGAATTTGTAAGATGGTCCGATGTTGACTTACTAATT